CGTGTAGCTTTGCGCGAAATTCAAAAACAAACAAACAAACCTAACTAAATAACGTGATTACTGTCACCATAGTTACAACGCCACCGCACCTGAAAGTGCGGGTCTTCTTCAGCTACATATTGAGGTTTGAAAAATAGATATTTTGATATTCAGACCCAAACCTGTTCAATTTTTCTTTTCCTGAAGTTATGATTTTTCGTTACTTTGAATTTACAACAATAGCATTAAATTTCTAATTTTATATTGAACTGAGTACTAGAGAATAAAATCAGACAGACCAGAGAAACATCTCTAGCGTCTCTAACATCTTCTCTCAGAAATACTTGTCGTATGTAAATTGCCATACAAAATAACTAGTGAAGACACTTTGAAATGAACGGCAAAAAACTCCATACAAGATGGCGTCGACTTGAGTATGTGTTAATTAAACCAAGAATTGACATAACGAGAACTGCACCATGGTAGACTTCACAGAAGAAGAGGAAGCTGGAGATGGACAATTAAATGAAATATTAAAATGATGAGAAACTTGCAAGGAATAGACAGTTTGAAAGTATTGGTTCATGCCTTATGTGCCACAGGGCATTAAGAGGATTGAATAAATAAAATACATTCTCCAGGAAAACAATGGATTCAGATATACAACCAAATGTTCTATTTTGTAAGAGTTAAAATCATAAGGCTGTAAGAATGATGTGAAGTTTTACGTTTTCAGAATATTTATAACTGCACAATGCGGTATGTTTGTCTTTATTTTGTTTTGAATTTCACGGAAAGGTACTCGAGGGCTATCTGCCCTAGCCGTCCCTAATTTAGAAGAGATATACTGGAGAGAAGTCAGCTAATTAACACTACCCAGCCTTGTATCTTGGGATGATCTTTTACCAATGGATAGTGGAATTGTTATAACACCCCCACGCTGAAAGGACGAGCGTGTTTGGTGATAGGGATTTGAACCCGCAACCCACAGATTGCGAATTGAACATCATGAGCGCCAGGTCATGCCAAGACTTACTGTGTTCCACTCTGAAAATGAGGAAACTATCTCTCTTTATTTTTTTAAAGTTCATGAGCTACATTGGAATACCGCAAAACTTTCAAATATTAAAAGTATTTGCCGTCTCCCTACTTTTGAACTACTGACTACAGGGAAGGCAGCCAGTCGGCAGCATCCTACCAGTATACAAAATGTTGAGTGCATTATATTAAAACAATTTTGAATGTGAAAATGAGCAATTCACGTGATAACCACGGTCGATATACAGTTGCGGTGGAGCTTCATGAATAGTGTGACTTACTGAAAATTTCTCGTTTTTGAGAAGGGTAGGTAAAGTTTGCTTTGGTTTGAATTTCGCTCAACTGAATAGGGCTACCTTTTACCAACGAATAGTGGGATTGACCGTCGCATTATAACGCCCCTACGGCTGAAAGGGCGAACATGTTTGGTAGGACGGGGATTCTAACCCGCGACCCTCAGGTTGCAAGTCAAGCGCTCTACTATCTGGCCATGCATGACCACTCAAATCGTAAAGATATGTTCAAATCAGTGTTTTCGAATTTCCAAGACGGGATTATTTCTTGCGCTTAATGACACTGAAAACCTAAAGAATGTAGAGTAACAAGTCGTGCCTTAGCTGTGTTTCGTAAAGTGTGGCTTCTACAGTATATGTGTTCAAACGTCTCATACTTCAAGCAGCTGAAGAATGAAACGGGTATTCGCGAATTCCTGTGCGACCAGACTGTTGAAATGGACGCTGGGAAACCGTCGTACTCGTACACCAGATGAAATATGAAGAGCATGCAGATAGGGTTAATTGTTTTTGTTTTGTTAAGCACAAAGCTACATAATTAGCTATCTGCGCTCTGCCCATCGCGAGTATCGAAACCCAAGTTTTAATATTATACCTAAGAAGTATCACTAGGCCAATGGGGAAACATGCGTGAAGGAATGATATGTTTGGACATAACAGAATTATGACAAATACCTTTTTAATAAAACTACGTTCTAGTGCAATAGGACATACATCGTAAACGAACATGGTGACATGAACGTTAACGACGAGTTGAGGCTATATTTCTTATTAAGAAGAGATTTTCCTGGCGTCATATCATGTTTTATTTTTTATGTTTTGTAAAGTAAAGCCTAAGCAATTTTATTGACGTAGAAATTGCTATTAATTAATTTATTTTATATGTTTTTCACTTTCCATAATGACTAATATTTAAAAAATTCGAACTTCCTTACATAATGATTTTTAATCCCAGTTTTGAATATTATAAATATATATATTTGCTATTGAAATATTATATATAGATTAGTCAATAGGGAGGGGGCAAACTCAGTTTACTGTGAAAGGCACTTTCGTTTTTTGGTTCCAAGAACAGATAAAACCCTTGTGGCGCGGATTTTGTTGGTTGGCCTCCTTCCCTGTGAGCCCCCTATTGGCTCAGTGGTAAGTCTGAAGGATCGTGTCGCTAAAAATCCGGGTT